AGCTCGGCCATGAAACATGGACATTGGAACACCACATCGGCCCAAAGAGGCCACGTCATCAAACAGATAAAAATACAATATTGTCACCGCGCCGCAATCACAAGGTAAAATCCTAAAAATGCCAATGTGTCGGTAGACAGTAAAAACCCTAATATCACCAAGGTACGTCTGTTATATATACAAGACATTTACACTATCAAGCATTAACTTTAATATCGGAATCTCTTTTGCAGGTACCACCCCATCTTGGAGCGGACCTGCGAACCAGTGAAGACTCACCAATCTCATCGAAAAGATCTTCACTGATCCAATCTTACGTGAAAACACTAACAAAATTAAATCAATTCAATTTTCAAATTATTATCCATAATGCCTAATATTGTCATGATGAAGTACTTAATATGTCATATGATAACAAGTATTCATAACAACACTACTACTAGTTCATAGATAAGTTTAAAGAACCTATAACACTACAAAATTTTCGTGAATTAGAGTTGAAAAAATCCGAGTCTAATTAACTTGCTGGTGACTCTAACCGATAAACATAACACCCTTTACTCCTCCGGTATTTATTAACAATATATATATATATAAAATTAAAAATAAAAGTAAAATAGCAGAAAATTTCCAATTTCTTTCCTAAAATGGATAAAGGATTCATATACACAATTCAACTCAAATTCCAAATATTCTTAGTGAAAGAAATAAAAATGATGAATAAATACAAATGTCAGCCAAATATTTTAAAAACCAAAACTAACTTTAAATAATTAAAAGCACTATATTGCAACTTAGTCATTCTAATTTATATAGAGGGAATTATAAATTTTTAGTCTCTAAAAACATAAATAAGTTTAAATTTTGATCTTTATTAAAAAAATATTATTCTTTTAATTTTTTATTTTAATTCCTACAAAATATTTTTTTTTAAATTTTCATCCTCTAAAATCTGAAATCAATATTTTTTATCCCTATATATTTTTTGAAGTTAGATATATACGATTATATTAGAGACCCAGAAAATTGTAGGAGATGTCAAGAGTAAAAATCATATTACATATTACAAGCCACTTAAGATGATGATTAAACTTTTGGTTAAACACAAACGAGCATTACATAACAGCAAGGATAAAAACAACAGTTTCATATTTTGAGCATGGAAAATAAAGAATTTTTTTTTTATAAAGATTAAGTATAAAACTCATTTTATAATAACTAAAAAAATTTAAGTCATAATTTAACTTAATCAACAAATTATACTTATTTTGAGCGTGAATAAATAAGTAATTCGAAAAAAAAGATGTGCTAAAAAAGACATTGTTCAATTATATTAAATTATTCTGACAAATAATTACTTATCCATCTTTAAAAATCAAAATTTTCAACAGAATTTTCGTAGAAAGCAAAGACTGTCAAAAAAATTGAAAAGTCTGTTAGCATATTGAGGAGCCATGTTTAATTAAGAGGTGGATTACCCTTCTCAACTTTCAGGACTTCAAATTGTCTGATCTCAAGTTCAAATTTTGGAATGGAGGCAAAGTCAAAATCCATTCAACTAAACTCAATTATTCACATGACAACAAATAGTAATTGACAGTTTTATTGTTTTCGACAAATTGTACAAGTAGTTTTTTTTTCCCTATCGAATAACCAATATTTTAGAAATAATTAGTCAAATGCACAGAATTTTTTTTTAGAGATCAAATGCATAGACTTATTCTCAAAGAAAGGTGATTATTGGAATCATTCTTCATAAGAGCATTTTTAATTAATTTTTTTAACGATAATCCTTTTTGAGATTTTCTTAATTTCTCATCTCATTTAATTTATCAGTTTAATCTTTATTTATAAAAATAATTAATAAAATAAGAGAAAAATGCATAAAAAAAATAAGAAAATAATATTTGAATTATGAAAATTATTTTTTTATTAAATGGATTTGAACATTTGCCTATAATTAAATTTTTCTTAAATATATTATTTGTTCATGTAAAATTAGCGAATTTTAATTTTGAACCTTAAAATTATTTTTTTTGTTTTAATTTTATTCTTCTAAAATTTATAAACATTATTTTTTATCTTTTGTAAAATAGTTTTGGTCCTTATAAAAGATGTATGTTTTGATTTTAATTTTTATAAAATATTTTTTTTTATTACTACAAAATCTAATTTCAATATTTTGGGTCACTAATGATGAATTTAAGGTAGATAAAAAAATTGTTTTAAAAATCTATAATAAAAAAAAATCTAAAAGTATCACACACACTAACATGATATCACTAATATTTATAGGTTAAAATGATTACTAAACCTTTTAATAAACAAATAAGTAATTAAAATAATTACATATTAACATAAACTTAAAATAATAATCCTAAATTTTAGATACATGAAGAACAAAGAAATATTTTTATAAAAATTAAAATCAAAATTTGTTCATTTTACAAGATTAAAAACATATTTAACCTTATTAAAAAACATTTTATTTGAAAGTAAGCTTTTGTATTTGTTAGTTGTGTCTAGAGAACATATTTCTTATCATTTCATCTCTACCAAATTATTTCTCTTAATCTGAAAAATGAATTAGTGAAAGTTATCCACAACACCAAGAATATGCACCAAAATAGAAAAAGAAGGGAAAATAGTTTTTAAATTTATTGGTTTTTATAACATTTATATAGCTGTACTTTTCTATGTCTTCTTAATAAAACATTATATCGTGTAGTAATTTTTTTGATTTGTTAGATTTTGTGTTAAAAGAACTTTACTATCACTATTTTTTTCTTTGTTCAATCTCCTCCCTTTCAATATTTTTTCTCAATCAAATAAATTAATTTGTGAGCATAATCTAAAACACCAAGAATATGCACCAAAAATATTCCCTCTAGACGTCTCCCCCCAAATAAAACACACACACTAAGACAACAAGAGAGATAAAATCAATTTGAAAGCATATAGGTGAGATGTCATAACAAGCGGTTGACAAGCAAAAACTAAATAAATAAATAAATAAAAAGTTGCCAAACATGCCATCAAACCCCAAGCGTGTGGTTCAGCGGTAGGGGTTGATCCACGCTTAAACAAGTCAGGAGTTCGAATCTTGCTTTGTGTATGCAGCCGCGTTAAATCTTGGAGTCAATAGATACTCCAGGAATGAACAAAAAAAAAAACATGCATGATTCAATGAAAATCTCTTCTTTAAATTTTTAAGTGAAACTCATATATACATAATATGTATTTTTATTCTTTTTAATTTAAGTATTTTTATAAATATTTTTTTTCTCTAATTCAACATTTCTCTTTTAATTCTTAAATAGGTCTCACAAAATTATATAACGTTAATATATATAACATTAACAAAGAGTGTAACAAATTTTACAATATTTTATTATATAAGTTTAACTTTAATTTAAAAAAAAATTGAAATAGACGTACTTTTGTAAGATCATATAATTTAATGGGTATTACTCGCGATGGAAGGTTTTCAACAATTAGATCTTAAAATAAAATATAAAAAAAAAAAAAACTTACAGGTCGTATACATCAACCTTAATTGCAGCTTACTTAAGTTTACTTTATTTGGTTGAGTAATTACTTAATTCTAGTCGTTAAATTATTTGAAAAACGTACGTGAGTTACCACTAAATTCGATTCTTATCAATAAAAGAACAATATATTGGCATCGAAAGTGATTGAAACAGAATCCTAAAGCTTGTTCAAACATTAATCACTTTTGTGGTCCTACTAAATTGTGCCAATTCAAGCACTGTGGATGTTAAGTCTCTTCCATGGCATAATAATGAATCTTTAATTTGGTGCATAAAATAAAAGTGAAAATACAAAGGCAAAGACATTGAAGATAAACCAGCCAACCGCTTCAAAAGGGGCCCACACACCTACCTCTAATTTCATCATAGATTAGATGCAATTTAGTGAGGTCAATAAATAGGGAAAGCAAAATCCAAAACAATTTCCTCCACCTCATTATTTATATGTTGTTACCATGCACTATGTGTCATGAACTCATTAAAACACCTCCAATTACAACCGAATGCTTATCACCTTTGAATATTTCTCTTTTTTCGTGCCCATTATCATCAATTTACTATTACTATAACTTGTTTTTCTACAAATTTAACCAAACCCATATATTCTTTGATATCATTTTCAATTCAACATCTATTTTTCAATTTTTTATGCATTTTAAATGGATTTTACTATTGATTTTTCTATAATTTAAACAACTCTTTTCTCTAGTCTAACAACTTTAAAAACTTTATCAAATAGATTTTACGGTAAACATTTAAGTCACTTTAGTGATATATAAGACACCGAAATATATAGTAAATACATGAGATTGTAAATTTCAATTTTAATGCGACTTTTGTACAACCAAAAATAAAATCTCACAGCTAACTTTACACCGTTATATTTTTATATTAAATTAAATGAATGAAAACAGCTCTCTATTATACTGTATAATTTTTACTTTTATATATCCTCAAGCACAGGAACTCGAATAACTGGTGCTTAATAAGCGCAGGCTTGTTTTTCAATTTTGTATTTTTTTTTTTAAATCAAAATATTGCTTAACCGAAAGTTAAGAAATAATTATTTGAAGTATTAATGTCTATTTAAAATATTATATTTTCTTGACAAATATTTTTATGTATACATAGATCAAAAGTCGAACACTTGACGACTACATATTTTAAAAAATAAAATTATTTATCAAACTTATGATGTTGCTTTAATAACATTAGGACTTGTTAACAAATATGATAGAGATGTCCCAACATATTTATTTTAATTATAGTTTTTATGTCGATTAAAATATATTGAAAATTAGAAAATTATAGATAAAATTCATCAAATAAGAAGTCAATCTTTCTAATTCTTTTTATAAACTATAGCACTATAGCTGATAATAAATTGTGTGTATAAAAGAGTGTATACTTATCATTTGTATTTAACATGAATATCTTTACTTTTAAATAGTAGCAATATATATATCAGCTTGGATAGGATATCCAAGCAAATTTCTTGAATATTTTATACTACAAAATAGAATAATCAGGAGTACACAAAAGGCCTTGTCTTCTATTTTGTTGGCTTCTTGTTTGGCAGGATTCATCTTGTTGTTTTGCTTGAAACCATTGCATTATTTTTTGAAGGGCATACAGTTCACATATAAAATAGATGGTGGAAGGAAGAGAAAGCTATCTACTCCAGAAAATGGGGAACTGGAAGGGATGGAGGTACTTCAAGAGGCTGTCTATCTACCCCATTAAGAGTGTCCTTCGTAAAGTGACTTCAAATTTCAGCTTCAAATCCGAAGGTAAGACTACTTTGAGATTCAGATGCCATCATTCTTAAATGATTCTGGATCACAAGTATAAGCACCTTTACATATATAGTAGAAGCAACTATTTTTTGTAAGAAATTTTCAAAAATACTTCTAGAAAAACAAAACAAAAAGAAAAGATGAAATAAGTTTTGCATAAGTAGAGTATCATTTTTTAAATTTTTATTTTTTTAATTTATAAGGAATTTATTTTAATTTTATTTTTTATTTTTCTATCATTAAAGTGATTTTAGATAAATTTATATAATTCGATCTACTAAAAAAAATATAATTCTAATATAATTCTTTATTTTCAGTAAAAAAGTTCTTAAAAATTCTTCAAAGATTGCATCCAAAAATAAGTTAACTTACATCACTTACATCTGTTGATTGCATCCAAAATAAGTTAACTTACATCACTTACATCTGTTTTGTCTTTGATAATTTGTTTATTCATGGTTTTGAATACAGGTGGGAGAAATGGACTTCTTACTCTTTACAAGGACATGGAATCTTGTGGGGAATATGCAGATATCCAAATCATGTGGAAAATTATTGAATCTTCTTCTCCTAAATATGCCTGCCACAAGAGAAGGATCAATAGGTCTTCACATTGGGTGGTCTGTTTCCGGCCAACTTGAATTGTTTAGGGGTCATCAGTTAAATGGTCATAGTTTTTCTTGGTGGATGAGTCCACAGGTTGAAAGTGTGGTAGGTAGGTGTATAAGAGAAGGGGAATCAAAATTTTCATGTCAGTTCCATTCCTTCAGCCTCCACTCCTTCCATCACATTAATTTTGTTACTGAAAGATATCAAAGTGAATGATCAGAATCTAAAATTGAATCTCTTGTAGAAGCCAGTATCTGCTGAGTTTAGCCTATGTTTTGATTCTAGATTTTGCTTTTCATACATTGGAATGAACAGGAGACTCAAAGTTCATGTTTAGATTAGAGAGTTTATGAATTTCATTTAGCAAACTTGTGTTTCAAAAAGAACTTTAATGTTGCATTCATTTAGAACTTAGTTTGAAGCAAAACTTAAGCACGCAAAATTACTGAACAGGAATCCACACATATCTCCAAACTTAAAACTGAACAAAATTCAAACATATCATTAAACCGAGTTGCTTACGTGATCAAGTTTAATAAGGAATCAGATCAAAATTGATGTCAAAGTGTGCTGCTATAGATCATCCAACCAAAATTGATGTGAATTTGGTTTTGGATCCAAATATGCTTACGACACAAATGTATGTTCAAAGCAGTTGTACATAAACCAAACCTAGCCACGAGCATTACTATCGAGTAAAATATCCTCCATAAACTTTTGATCGGGAATGCAGACGACAATCACGACATATATCATCAAGTTAATGTACATGTGATCGATGCATCTCTTACCATTGCCGATATCCAAATTGGCAATTTCCATTTATGCGTCGTTTCTTTTGGAAAGCTGACAAATTTATGTTCATTTTAAACCATAATAACCTCTTTTAAGTAATTCAATGTAGCGGTATCAACAAGGAGGATGGTGCTTTTCATACTTTTGGTTCGCTGGTATAGTGGCCATGTAGCCTTCAATTTAACTTTTGGGGACATTTGCCTCTCTGGTATTATGTAGTATCAATATAACAAAATATGAAAATTTTCAAATCATCAGTGTTTGTTTCATTCATTAAGACCAAGTAGTAATTAAGGACATTATTACGGCAGAGATTAAAAGCAGATATTGCATAGAGAGATCCTTGAAAAGCAGATACTAAATGTTATAGCATAATAGGCCTGCAGCCTTTTACATGTGATACTAGCAATTACGTTACAACAAGTTCCTAAACCTCAGTACATAAGGAAAAACATTTAAATACTACTCTGAAATAGAAAACAACACAGAAATTCACAAAAGACTAGTGACTTGACTATTCAAGATCAAGCAGCATTTCCCTCGTGAAGAAGTCTTTGATCAAAGTGCCAAACACCTGCAAGCCATAAAACATCAATTGAATCAGACGCCAAAGGTATTAGAAAGAAAGTATCACACTAATGGAAAGGCGCGTCTAAGGTAAATTTAGTGGGCCAGTAGAAGAAATGATTGTAGCTATATACATACCGTGACCCTTTCCAACCCTTCTCAATTGAGCCACATACTCTGATATCTTCTTAATTGCTTCAACCTGTACAAAAGAAAACGACCACATCATTAATGAAAGCAAATATACAGAGTCAACTTGTAAATTCATGTTCAATGTTCACAGCATAGATGCACATGTAATGCTTCTCACTTTTCCTAAGCTTGTGCTAGCTGTCTTTCCTTTATTACCAGGATAACATACAACACAATAGCATGGTCAAATTGAAAGTTAGCTTTTGACAAAACCCCAAAAATTATAGTCCTGAATTTTTTTGTAAGAAAACTTCTTATAAAAAAGAAATAAAATAAAATAAAATAAAATAAAGGTCAAAAATTTGGAAAGCCCATACACACTCACTTCCTCTAAATTTCCTATTTTGACAATTTCTCTCTGTTTCTTAATTTATATTTATAAATCCCTGAAGTTTCTACCAACCCATAACTATTCTACGGCTTAGATGAATTTACCTGTTCAGACAAAAACTCACTTTCGATGAAGTCAGCCATTTGAGGGTCATTGTTGAGGTCTGCCACCTATTAGTCACAAATCTTCAATTGATTAGCCTTAAAAACTATTAGATCAAATCATCTGTGAGTTACTCAGAAAGAAAGAATTAAAGAGAAAATAAAATAAGTGCGACCAAAAGCGGAAAAGTAAAGAGGCATTACACTGTGCACATTCAGAAGTTTCTCATTCACCAACTTCTCCAACGACAAAGCCAATTCCATTGCTGAACAAAGCAATAGGGGAAAGTCAGCATAGATATTGATTTGAACAGATATGAGAAACCATAATGCACAGCTTTACAACTATACAGTGTCGATCTACAATTAGGAAAAGATGAAGGCATTGAGAAACAAAACAAGTAATGAAATCGGGAAGCTCACCATACAATGCATCCCCCTTTTCCTCGTGCTCAAATTCAGAGGGAACATTCTTGATGGGGTGAAGTACAACTCTTCCACCACGTGTGTTCTAAACAATTTAACAAGATCCATATACATCAGAACTTTAGAGAAGTTACTTCTAGCTGCTAGATCAGTAGTTAGAAAGTTATCTACAAAGTAATTTAACCTGATATTTCATAAGCTTTTCAGCATGCTCTCTTTCTTCTTCGCTAGATTCCTTGAAGAACCTGTTTTCAACAACAGCACATGAATATGAAAACCCGTTGGAGAAACGAAAGAAACATCAAGAGGAAGGAGGCATAAGGGGTTTTTATGTTAGTTACTTGGCAAGTCCCTTGAGAGCGATGTTATCCCTGTCAAAGTATGCAAACAAGGAGTGGTACACATAGGAAGCATTGTATTCCACACTGTGAAACACAAGTAGCAAAGGAGCAGCGAGACTATTAGATGACCACAAAAAGCAAAAATATAAACAAACACACGCACACAGATATATTCTCTTTTGATAGTATTAAAGGAAGATCCTAGTGCTCTATTAATAAGGGGGAAAATAAGGATCCAGCTTAGTTTCGGTCGCAGATCAGACAATTAAGAACAAATGTGTATTAAGTCGTTCAAGATTTTAAGAAAACTGATTTTGTTCCTTACATTTTAAAAAGAGTGATTTTGGTCTTTGTAATTCTGCAATGCAAAAGACTTAGCCCATGACCCAGTATAACATTTTCGTCAGAGACGGAACCCATCATATATAAGACTAAAGTTTTTGCCTTTTTGGTATCAACTACAATTGAAAGCACTCTCCACTCAATAAAGCAAATTGTTCACCTTAGAAAAGCATGCCCAAAAAGAATCTTTATTTAACCATAATATCTACCGACTTCATTTATAACTAATTTCTACATAAAAAAAATTTATGAGCACGTTTGATCAGCTTATATTAACAACAAAAGAAACTACTTTAACCAAAAAAAAATTAAAAAAAAAAAGGGGATCAAGTGCTCACTTTATCTGCTCGTTAATTGCAGATTCACAGTCACCAGCATAGTTCTGACGAGCCAACGAAACTTGGGGAGCGGTGGGAATAGCAAGCTCACCCTTCTTGACCTCTTCAAAGGGTTCAAAAATGACCCCAGTAAGAGGCGCAGTAGAGGCGGAACAAACCCTGAGGCTTCTGCTTCCGAATTTCTTATTCACGAAGCTCAAATAAGAAGAGCAAGTTGGGTTTTTGGGAACATCCCCACCACTGGTTGTGAGAGATAACCCTGAAAAGGAGGAAACTTTGGAAGGAGCGAGAGCCATGAGGGCGGAATAACCAAATGGGTAACGGAAAAGAGTCGAGAAATGGGAGAACAAGAGGAAGAAGAATCAATGGCGGCTGTGGGGAGGAGAGTTGTGTTTGTGGTGGATGAAGCTTGCGTGGGATAAAGAGGGTATAAGTAGCGGGGGTTAGGGGTAGTTTGGGGATTTCGCATGTGAGATCTGGGATTTTGGATCGTTGGATGGGAAACAGGTGGAGGGGTAGGATGGAGTGAGGAAAGGGGCGTGTGGCGAGCTCGTGCTGTGTGGAGTGTGAAAGGGAAATATTCGATCCACGTAGGAATTCTGGAATTATTAGAAAAAGTGGGGACAGGTGTCTCCCACTTTAAGGAGCTTCGCTATTGTGTTGCGTTGGCTTCTCAAGCTCACGGGAAGGGAAGGTAGGGAGTGCCACTGGTCTCGCTCATCGCATCCAATAGTTGTAGATACTTGTGACAATATTTATATATAATTTAATATTTTTTTAAAAAAATAAATATATTAAATTATTTTTAATTTTTAAATTTAAAGTAAATTTATTTTTAGTAGGAGCATGATTATTCTCTTTTAGCATCTTTTCTTCCAATTATGTTTTTTCATATACAAGACTTCAATCTAAGATCTTGTTTAAAGAAATTAAGTCCAGTATCACTCAAACCAACGACTTATTGATTATATAATTATATGAATATATAATTTTGGTTCTAACTATGTAATTATATATTTTATGTTTGATTTTAAAATAAAGCAATATTAAATTATTGGTCTATTTTTAACTTTAATTACATATTTAAATAAAAGTTTTTTCTTGGGTTTCACCCCAAAGGAATGGTACATCCTTCTTAACAAGTTCATTAAGAGGGGATGCAAGTGTGGAGAAGTCTTTTACAAACCTTGTATAGAAGCTATGAAAACTTCTAACTTCTCCAACACTCTTTGGGTGGGTATATATATTGGATAGTCTTTTATTTTCTCGGGGTCAACTTGTACTCCCTCTTTACCAACTATGAAACCCAAAAAATTTACTTGTTCTTAACAAAAAGTGCATTTTTCAAGGTTGACATAGAGGTAAATTTTTGAAAATCACCAACAATCTCAATAATTGATTATTTATAAATAATATTTTAATTATTAGTGATTTTTAAAAATTTAAACAAATAATATTATCAACTATAACTTAAATAATTATTTATCACATGTTAATTAGTATGAATAACAAATACATCAATACTTTTTATTTATCTTTAAATGTTAAGCCAATTGTTAATTAATATTATTTAATTTTAAAAGTGTGAAAAACAAAAAAGAAATAAAAAATTTATAGGAATCAAAATTTTACATTTTTTAAATTATAGGAATTAAAAATAATTAATTTTAGATATATTTTTAAAAAAATATTCAACTCAAATTAATCTAAATCTCTCTCTATTATATATGATTAAAAATTTTAAAATATATAAAAGATGTTCTTTCCCTTATTTTAACAAATAATTTTTTATGTCTTAAGTGGTGACAATTCACATGCCAACATTAAAATTTAAAAATTAATAGATATTAAATTAATAATAGACTAAAATTTCATATTTTTAAAACTAAAAAATTAATATCTATATTTTAAATTAGGAAGATCAAAATTATAAATTATAAAAATAGAAAGATTAAAAGTTAAATTTATTATTATTATTATTATTATATAATTAATAGTATTTGTGTATCATGATAATTAGTGCAATAATTAATGCCTGTGTGGTGGCTTGTTGCTTATGAGTTGTGCTTCATGACTTGATGGCTTAGTGCCTAAATGTTTCATGACTTAGTGGCTTAGTGGCTATGTATGCTGTGCTTCATGAATTGGTGTCAATGTGTGGTACTTCATGGTTTGGTGCCTTTGTGTTTCATGGCTTGGTGGTTTAGTGTGGTGCTTGAGTGTTGATTTTATAGTTCTTAAATTTTATACCTTTAGATATATTTTAAATCCATGTAATATTTATGTCTTGTTTTAGCCTAGTATAACTTTGTTTTTTTAGATCTTTTACATTTTTTTAGTGTTCTTTTTTTAGCCTATAATTCTAGTTAGTTTAAAACGTGTATTAGATTGAAATTTCATAAGATTATTTTAGTATGAAAAGTCTTTTAAATTTTAAAAGACTTTGTAAGAATATAATAATTTTTAAGTTTTTTTTAAAAATAATTATAATAAAAATTTTGTAATATGAATTTTAATGAATATGTATCATAAGAATTTATAAGTGTTGAAAGAATTTTATGAGATTTCAAAGGATAATATAATTTTTTAAAAAAATAATATAATTAATAAAAAATAACATAAAATCAATACAATTTTTTAAAATTTTTAATAAATAATTAGTTCTAATTTTATATTCTCATAAATAACATTTTTCAAATTAATCTTTTATATATTTACATTTTTTATTTATATTATTAAATTTGAATAATATATTAAAATTTATAATATTCATTAATTGATTTACTAGGCCAAGTGCATAATTTCTTCTCCAATTTTAAGCTCAGAGAGTCTGGTATGAAACAAAAGTGGTATTCTAGATTTTGGAGAGAGAGTCTGGTATGAAACAAAAGTGGTATTCTAGATTTTGGAGTACGGTGGAAGGACAGTTTAACCACCAAAGCTATTGCTTCCACACACCATCTGAAGTAGATTCAATACTAGATTTGCAGAAGTGGCAAATCATCGTTCTTCCAAGTGCACATTCTTTCTTGATAAATTTTCAGTTGTTGGAAACTTGGAATATGTCATTGTAGAACAACCTCCACATGAAAAATCAAGGTTTGGAGGAGCCACAATGTTCCAAATATGTGAAAATTTATGGTCAGTTTGATATTTCTAAATAGCTCAAGCTGAATTGCTCTATATATCGACTTCATTGCAAAGGCCCCGAAATGTTCAGGCTGCCATAACCAAGAGTCTTCCTCACCTTTTTGTAAACATGCATTTGTAAGCAACTGTTGTAAAGATTCTACTTGACTTTTGTCCCATTCCAACCAATTTCGATGCCACAAAACCTCTTACACCCACCTGCCATCAATCCATTCTCCAAATGCTTAATTAGATGTTATTGTTGTTGTTGAGAATAGCCTAGGATGATATATAGCTAAACATTCATCTCCTTCCCAACCATATAACCTGTTCTTACCGGGGATCCGAGGTAGAGATGATCCACTGAGTAAGATCGGTGAGCCTCCTTCACTGGTACGTTGATGCTCCAAGATGGGGGTGGTACCTGCAAAAGAGACTCTGATGCCAAAGTTAGGGTTTGTGGGAGTATTAGTCTCGTATAAATAATGCACGTACCTTAGTATGAATTAGGGTTTTACTGGGCTTTGGTCCCGAGATCAGTTATGACCTGTTTGGGTGACGAGCTGACGTCATACAGCGCGTGTCCAAGGTCGCTTTGCGCTGAGATGTCGAGTTCGAGCTCGGCATAGCGGTACGGACAGTACACTAGCCCCCCGAGCTCTGAAGACCGTGGGTCGAGGAGTTAAGACCGAGCTCGTCAAGGAGCAGTGACCCTTCGCGTACGCCCGCCTGTGAAGACACCATGTGTCATAACTGTCGCTTCATTCTCGAAAACGTGTGGGCGGCGTGTTAATGAGGAGGACGATTACGCAATGATGGTTTCGCCTCATCATAATGAGTTTCATTAAATGTGTCATCAGGTGCTCTCTCTCTCTAACACGTGTCGTGGCCGTTTGAAATTCGGGGAGCCCTTTTCTCTCTCTCTCGTGCCTCTTCCCCTTTTCACTTTACTCTTTTTCGTTCTTTCAGCTTCTTGCGTACGCTGCTTCCCTCGCTTCTGTTCATTTCCCACCTTCATCTTCTCTGTTTCCGTCGCCATTTCCAGCAACTGGGTTCTCCTCCTTCTTTATCGCTCTTTCATTTGTCAAAAGGGTACCAGGTACTTCGATTTCCCTGCTCTCTCTTTCTTCTCCAATCTTTCCCTCTTCGAGTCTTTTTGTTTTCTTGATGGCTGGAGAGAGTGGTGTCGGATCTTCCGCGCCTGCCAAGGGCAAGGGTAAGGCGCGCAGCAAGGCGGTGGCTACTGGGACGGCCGCTGGCTACGACTGGGTCAGGCGTGACGTGGGGTAGTGTCAGAGCGTGTTCAGGTCCTTCCTGGAGGTCAATGTGATACGAAGATCGCACAGGGTCTATGATTCTTCTGTCTCCGCGTTCGTCTGGCTCGAGCCCTGTCAGCCCGACGAGCGTGTCTATATGGGGGGTCCTTCTGACCCTCCTTTCTTTTATGTGTACCAGTGTCTTTTCAGGGATTTAAGTGTCTGTCTTCCTTTCACTCAATTTGAGTGTGACTTTTTGAATTTCATCAACTCGGCTCCTTGCTAGTTGCACCCCAATAGTTAGGGTTTTTTTAGGGCTTTCCAAGTCCTGTGTTCGGCCTTGGGAATAGAGGTGTATCTGCTTGTTTTTCTTCATTTTTACCAGTTAAAAATGGGTGTTCCTCCCTATGGCTTAATGTCTCTGAGTGGGAGTAAGGATGGGGGTCTGTTTTCCCTTTACTCCCAATCATATAAAAATTTCAAACAAGAATTTTTCCGAGTGGCGCTTGTAGACGTCGACCCGTTAGAGGATGGAGCATTCTATTTCGGTGGGTTGCCAAAGTTCCCCTTCTACTGGCGGCCGGTCCTGGCTAGGTTTCACGGAGTGGGGGAGTTACAATTGACGGCTTCAGAGTCGGCCGCCATTAAAAACCTTGACGCTTGCGAACTCGGCATACAAGGAGAGGGGCTTAGAGAGTGAGTACCCCGTCTTTCCTAGATTGTTAGAGTGGATATAAATCTGATTTGTCTTGTTTTTTGTAATCTCCAAGTAATCAATTAATCAAACAACATGTTCTTGTTCTTTCCACCATAGGCCTTCATTAAATCTCACCACCATATGAGACTCTACTAATTGTTGTTCCACACATGAGTTATGTTGTCCCATACTTTTTTTTTTAATAAGTATGATATTATTTGTAAAATCAATGCCCTGATATTTTATTTTATCATCAATTTTACAATATCTTTAATTTGCTTCTTTTATTATTAAATCTATCAATTATCTTTAAAGTTTTCTAATAATTAAAACCCAAAAAT